ACATATATACTTTCTTTTTGTAAATACATGCATATTATACATAGAATACACCCGAACACCGAAACAAATATTTGGTCTTTCAAACATTTGACCCAACCCGGGAATCGAAATCGAGACCTCAGCATAGCAGTCGCTACCACTGCACCACCGAGGCAGTTTTTTCATTAAAATCGTAATAGCAAATTGAATTGGGCTATTCCCGAGTACTTCAAATTGATAGCGAGTGATCTTGATTATGTCCAGCAGTGGACTATTAAAGGCTGTTGATGATGATGATGATGTTCTTGATTTAAGCACTCAACATCTCATGCAAACACAAGTTTCATATTATACCACAAAACAAACGAGATAGACTATTTCAAGTCGACCTTGATAAATACTTTAATATAAATATTTAAGTCCATTTTTTACAAAGATACAAGTCACAGTATCTAGAGCCAGACATATCCATATATAATTATTCCAAAGGTACGCTTAAAAATTGATTACTTTTAAAAGTTTTAAAACTTTAGGAATATCCACGTACAACAGTACGTAGGAGGTACGTAGACAACAATAAATAGTGATTACGTCAATCACTATTACGAAAAGTTTATTACGAAAAATATGTCTCTTTGTTTTAAGCTTTTCCAAAATAAATATCTAACTTTGAACATAGTAGTTGTATAGTAAGAACATAGTAGCTGGCAAATAATTGAATTCCCAGAATCTGCTTGAATTAGATTAGAAACGTCATAAATAGAGATATCAAAGATTGGAATTAAATTCAAAGGATCAGTCCATACATAAACTATGAGCTTTGAAGGTAATGTTCCGATAAACGATGACGATGAACAGATAAGATGTCACGATAGTTTTTATTATAGACGTTTCTCGAATGTGGGCTTATAGAATCTCAGAGGCTTAAGATTTAAGTATGAAGGTACCTCGAGTGCAATCTAATAACTATTTAGAATTGATTCATTTGCAATGAAGTTTTCTTTTTCTGAAACAATCAGTTTTATTTGACAGTGTTCATTTTTTTGATATTTTAAAACAGTGAAGATTTCTAGCAGTTATTTTTTTAAACCCAATTCGTGAACAATCTCAAAATTACATATCATATCTCTTCATTTGGCTAACCAATCATGATCTGAGCAAAAATGTACTACCTCTAATAAATCTCTGCCATATGTAATTTGAAAGTCTGACTTACCTGTTTACTCAATCTTGTGGTTTAGTATTCATCGATGGTTGCTTAAAACGTCTAAAATAATTTTAAAGATTAAATTAAAACATTTTAAACAAAATGTAACATTTAAAATATACGAACACGTAAAATGTTGGGGCAATGAAACAAGTTTGTTATTCAAGATTTATTGTACTATGGAAAAATTACGGTTTTGACAAATCAATGTAAGAGTTCATTGAATCTACATTATTTTCTACCATAATAACTATTACATTACATTTAAAATTACCAACCTAAATTATATTTTCTTTTGAATATTTAAAATTTAATTTTAAAAGTTAAAACTACCCACGAACTTTTGTTTGCACGAGATTCGTTTACTTTCATCTTACTTTTTACAGAAATACAGTAGAGTTTTCTCATTAGTACAAAGTTAACACAGATCGGCTATATTGCCCGCAAGGTATTTAACTAATTGAAGTACTTATGATATTACAACCGTATTTGGATCATTGTTAAATTTAAGTGGATAAAAGAATTTTAGAGGTATTTATGACTAGCAAGAATAATTTTATAGATTAATTAACCAAGAAAAAATTGCAAAGTATTTACATTTACATAATTTACAGATTATATTTAATGTTGTATATTGTTTTTATGTTATTTTTGAATAATATTAGGTTAGCAAACACAAACAAACAGTTTTGATTACATTTTAGGTAATAATTTATTTTAATTAAAAACGCTTAATTCGGTGCCGTACATTTGTACATTGCCATAAATTTAAACCTATCGCTATTTTAATGCTATAAAGAAATTTTCATTTTAGTCGAAAGTTTAATTTCTAGCAAATAATACACTAATTTTAAACATCTTCAAAGTAAATTACTTACAATACATTTTAATTTAATTACAATATTTACAATGTGTATTAACAGAGCTTGTTTTTATTATTTTCATTATCAAAGTATACATTGACAAAACTAAAAGCATTTCTAAGTAATTGAATAGAGAAACGCAATGCGAAAAGATATAACGAAATCTTATTTGTTGATGTATTTTTCATAGAACTGTACTCGTATATTATGGTTAATGTAATATATTATGTATATGTATTTCGTAGCGTGTAGATATAAAGCTTATTACATGTTTACATAATTTGCCAATTACTTGTTACTATTGTTTATGTGATTGGAAAATAACAATTTGAATGTGTAAAATTAGATGATTTATTAAAAAGACTACCGGTTGCACATATATGTAGTGTTACAGAAAGGTGTGGTTCAATATTTGGAGAATCTGTAACTGATAAAAAGTTGTTTTAAGTTTAAAAATAATAAATGCTTGTAAAGGCATATAGAAATATTTTAACGACAATATTCACGTCTTTGTTCGTTTTTATACAAATATTTTTCAGGAAAAGAAAAGGTCATTTGATCAGCATCCTTGGCATTTAATAGCTAAGTGGTCACCAAGTTGCTATGCCGCGCCTGGTGTTTAAGTAGTTTATAATGTCCCTCGTGACAAAGAAATAATGCCTCTATATTACAAAAAAAAAAAAATACATAAGGAACCATAAAATACTGACTTTCTAAATCGACACTTAATGTTTACAATTCACACAGCATTTTTTTCTGGTAAAAAGCCAACCAAAGCAATTTCGTTCTGTTTTGTAAAGTAAGTATTGCGTAAATTTGCCTTGTAACTCCAAGTAAGTAGGTACGTCTTTTAGAAAATTGAAAAGGCATTCCAAAGATAATTCGTCAATGTTTTATTTTTCAATTCACTGGCAGACAATTGGATTGACGAAAGAAAAGTGAATTAACTTCAGTTGAGGTTTAACATTAAAATAACATCATTTATTATTTCAAAGAATGCGCGCATTTAATAATAGTTTATTTTTTAAATAAATAGTCTACATTAGGAGTATTTTTGTAGGGAGGAGTAGTAAACTTGTTTTTTTTATAAATTCATTGAAACGGAATGGACTTGAATTTAAATTTAAAAGTACAATTTGTTATACATTCGTTATTTAACCGTAATAAATGGTAAAAGAAAAATTATCCTAGAATCAAAACTAAATTTTAATTCGATTATGATGCAATGCAAAGGTCTGACTGACGAGAATCTATTGTATATCTAGTGTGCAAGGGAAATATACTTACATACGCATACACGTACACATTAAATTGCCGTTTACAAATAGTTAATGATAACGCAACAATCGTACCTTCTAACTAACCGATTAAAAACAATTCAATTTTTTTCTAGGATAGTAGAAAATGGATGAGTTCGATGTGTCATTATCTGTTCCACTATGCATACGTATTGCAAGACGTTTAATTACACAGTAAATTATTCACAACCCACTCTTAATGTACTCGTAAACTGATACTTGTAATATAAATTTTCACTGTAGTCTATAATTACTTTATACACAGGACCCTAAAATATAGGTAAATGAATGTATGTCGATTTGCTATTTGCCGCAATAGGCAGTAACACATAATAATTGTCAAGAAATGGATGATGAAAGAAGGGGTAAAATACAGTAGATTTCTGCACAAATTAGAACCACCTGATTGATTTAACATCTCCATTATACAGAAAGAAATAACTTCCACAAACGACGTTCTACAATGTTTATAAACAATGTGCTATATGCAAGAAACTTATGATTGGTTAATGAAGCTAAAATAGCAAAAGAACCGTTAGATTTATAGGCACAAAGTAGTGAATTATGACAAAGAGATTAGTTTCAGAGCCGAAGGTTATTTTATTAGTTTATCATGTTATTTCTCTTGATATGATGATAATATTAGTAGTCTTGGTTCAATAAAAGCTGTGCTATGTTGTTTAAATCATCATGTTATAAAAATATGATTTCTTCATTATCATTATCATCCTTATAATGTTGATGCACTAGGAGTAGGTACAAGGTATTGCAAAATTATATGGACATACTTTAAACTGTTAAAAACAAAATGGCTACAGGCTAAACACTTTAGCGTAACTTACCATCATTTACTTAATTTTGTAAGTTGTAAGTTGAAATATAACTTATTTTAAATAATGGAAATGATACTGAACTGCTAAGGCTTGTTCGACTAAAGTTAGTTGATATCATTTTGATCGCGCATATGGTTATAACGAAGTAACAATCCCCTCTATCATGATTGCCTAAGTTTACGATAATCGACTTTAAATAGCGTTACGCAATTAGCTAATTAGCTAATTGCGTAACGCTAATTAGCTAGCAATTTGGCTAGTAATGGACATTTCATTTAATCAAAGTAATTTACGTCTAATTATAATGTGAATTTGATAATTTTATACTTAAGGTAAAGTTAAAGGTAGTAAGTAGGTGCAAATGATTATTGAACCAAATATTTTTAACAATCTATTATTTTATTTTATATGATTTCCCTTGAATTTATTGTAAATTCTCTGCAAGCAATCGAAATTTTGTAAGCTTGTAAACATACTTAGTTGAAAAAGAAACACTTAGCGTTTCAATTACGCCATTAGTCACTGATGCCTTCATTGGTCATATAATTTGTCTTGTTGACATAAAGCTAAGAAAAAACTACAATTATAATAATTTTTAACAACTAATGAAGTGCTGATTACTATGACACACCTTTTACTATTTAACACTACAATGTTTGTCTCTCATCGATCCTAATCTTTATATCAACCAAGCTACACGGCTACTTTCTCTTTCGACAATCACATCATCGGGTGGTGACACATTGCGCTCCGCGGCAGCGGGGTTGACACCGGGCGCTTCGCTTACGCGTTGTCGCGTTAACGAGCGCTGCGGCTCGCGTCATGTGTTGCAGTCGATACGTGCACATATAGCCGCACTAAGTAATGTTGCCGCTGCTAGTGTGATTTGAACACACGCGATTACTACTAAATCACGTGACGAGGGTATCGTGTCATCTTCCATCGGTCCGCCTCTGTAAGAAGATTATTTTTTAAATCAACGAAATTAAATTTCTTTATTTTGGTTTCATATATACACCATAAAATTATAATTACCACCATATTATGTTCATTGTTACATTTTTTGTCGTCTTTTCTTTAAGCTTTACGATAGTCTGTAATTGCTTCATGTGTAGCTGTTTCTTTTAGCCTGTTACTCAGCATCGTCTTTACCAAACTAGTTCACTGGTTTTCGATGTAAGGTGATAGCAATAGCAATTTTCACATGAATATTTATTTGCCTTTGGGTATTCAATCATTTGCTTTTGCCAGTTATATTATTTCAGTCAAACCTAATGACATCATTTCATTTCATTCATTTAAACACAATATTTTTATTTATATATCTTTTTATTGTGTATACTTATGAAAGTCATAAACATGTATTAACTTAATCATCATCATCATCAACAGCCTTTAATAGTCCACTGATGGACATAAGCCTCTCCTGAGAAAGGAGAAAATTAATATTTCCATAAAAATATATTGTTACATCACCTGTCATAAATACTTGGGTAGTTATGGAAAATAAGTCTTAATCTTGTATGTTGTGAAGTACCTACTTAATTTAGGAGCTGTCTTACTGTATAAAATTATAATTAAATGCAATAATTACCATGGAAGTTACATAAAATTCCGAATGATGTGTAGTTGATAGATAGATGTATTTTGTTTGAACTTCAAAGTAAATAATAAAATCAAATACTTTTTTAATATCAACATTTCAACTAATAATTGGAATTTTGTATATTCTAGCAAACTAAAAAGATGGAGGAAGGATGAATGAACCAAAATAAAATACTAATGTAATAATATCAAGACATTAATAAAATATTATGATATAGTTTACCCATGGTCAACTCCAGGTGGATCCATGATGGTTCTGCAGCATTGCACGACTAGTGCTAATAGTAAACATGCGGCCGCAGCCCACAGCACGCTTGCCGCTCCTGCGCCCGCTCCTGCTACGCCTGTCACAGCAGTCCAACCCCGAGAAGTGTGAATCGATACCGCTACAACAATGCAATAACAAAATAATTTAATGTATCAAAATATTTTGATCGGATTAGTGTCTAATTATAAGAGTACATTTTTAGTTTTATGCTCATATTACACAGTTTTTTTTGGTGACGAGGTTTAAAATCCCTTCGGATCTCAAGCTCCTTGGGGATATAGGAGCCAGGAGGATGTGGTGTTTCCACAAAAAACCACCCCGACGGCCAGACTCAGGCGCTCTACTCCGAGGAGGACCCGGACCATGTTATTTCAGGCCCCCCGCGCCTAGAAAGACCCTATCCAGCCTATCGGCCTCTACGCTCGGGATTGGCCCCCTCCCGATCCCGTTCAGCTGTCTCTTTCTGAAGCATTACAGTTTCACAGAAAGAGACCACTGTGCCCCAGCCCTCCTCACCCGCCAGCATGGCAGCAATGATTGCTGGCGGGGACAGGTCTCGTCCGATTTGGTCAACCAGGACTTCGCGTTCAAACGCCTACGCAGGGCAGTCTTTCACAGTGTGTTGGTCGGAATCCCAATCCTCGCGTCCAATCCGATTCAGGTACTCACCGAAGCAGCCCTGACCTGTGAGTACCTGCGTCAGTCGGTAGGTGACGCGGCCTCCCTCCCTTCATAAAATATCGTAGAGCTAAAACTCATTTTCTTTATAATCAATACGATACTATATAAAAATTAGGTCTCTGAATAAAAGTACTCTGTTTTATATTATTTCGCTACACGATATTAGTTACCGTTTGCCGAAATGGATAAAGTTGGAGAAGTTAGACAGAAACAAAATATGATTTCTATAGGTATATTTAGTAGCTTACGTTTTTGGAATATACAGAATTTTATTATTAAGAGACGTGAATATTTGCAAACTCAAACAAGAAGGTTTTTTTTAGCTTGTAGACCATTGAAGTCCTTAGGGCCGTTCATAAAATAAATCACTCAAAATTTCAGCTCTGCTCGCTCCCACTTTGATATATGTATGTCACACTTTTAGCGAGACTCCTGCTAAATATTTCGGAGCAAGATTTATTGTGATTAAAATAGCTTAGAAATCTTTTTTAAAATGATCACTTCAATTCAATGTAATTATTTTACTTCTATCCTAAAAAAACTTGATTTACTGATTGTTTTGTTTGTATTATATATAATACTGTTACTTTGTACTGTTACGTTATACTGTTACTTTTTATTATTAGAATGCATTAGAACTATCTATTATAATTTGACTTAAAATATGTTTGAAATGAATGTATACCAATTTTACGTTGATGCATGTAGCTATTTAAAAACTTATTATTTAACAATTTGCATGCCAGTAAAGGTAGATTAAGGAGAACGATATATAAATAAATATTATTGTTTTTATTATCAATTATTAAACCCATGGTCAAGTGACCATAATAAGAGGCGTCATTCATGTAAAAACATTAAAATGGATACGATGTCCTTTCTACTATCGGTACAGTCTCAGATGCAGTAAACCCAGTTTATATATTTTTTTAAATTACATAATAAACACAAGGAAATGATTCTAAAATATATTATAATATTAAGAGCTATATCACAAATGTGCATTTAAAAAATTTAGGTATATGCGCTCGGCAACGTTCGGGCTGGCCCACGATACTATTTTCACCTTTGTGAATAATAGTGTTGAGACTATTTATAAAATAAAATAATTTATTTCATTTCTTTCCTTAAAATATTATTAATAAAGCGTAATGTTGTTGCCACCAATCATTCGCGCTTCAAACGACTAACAACATTTTCATCGAAATTCTAATTATTTGTGAACTGAAGTTTTTGATTGTGATTTTTAACTAAGTAATCAACACATCAATTAAAAGTTCCAGGCTGCTCTGAACTATATTGCTATTGAGGATACATTATTATGTTTTATTTGCATGGTACTGTCGTTCAATCTAGAGGCTCAACAAACTGTTGTCGCATAAATTATACAAAACTTGCTTCAGAATTTGACTCTGTTGAAGTAATTATATTAAAAATAAGAAAATAAAGCCACTATGCTACTATACTATTAATAACTTTATATCAAATTCATGCAACTTTTATAAAAATAAATCTAGTTTTTCAGAATAAAAACGCCAAAGCTGCTTAAAGCCAAGTTTAAATTTTCGGTAAAATATAACAGGACTCTTCAGTATTGATAGCATAAATAAATAAACATGTTTATAAAATCTGAAATATGAATTTTGGACTATCTAGAATATTTATTTACAGACTTGGTAAACTCGCCAAATGGATTGTGTTATACGGGACGCGTTGATTAACGTTGTTGAATCTATACCAATGTTATCAATATTATAAATGGAATACTAACTGTCTGTTACATTTTATCATCACAGAACCAATTCTTATCTATATAATCCATCTATATAATCTATATAATCTTATTGGAATAGAGGTAGAGTTGTCGCAAATATAAAATTTGAATTGGAAGAAAGAGAAGATCATATTATCTACATGGTGTAAGGGACGGTGTAACGAATACTGACATAGTGTATTTAGACCATCATCGTTAGTGAGTCGAAAATCATTTGAATTTTCTGCCGGAAAACAGACTTTTTTTGTAATTTTAATTTTTTTTTTGATCAAAAATGATTTCACAATGAATAAACAGAAGATTTCAAAGTTTTTTTTTAATAAAAACTGCAATGTGAATAATCAAACAGCCGAAGCGCACACAAGCCGGGCCCGCAAACAAAAAAAGAAAAAAAAAAGTTATTACTTTTGTGCGTTAAGACTGCGTTAAGACCTACGGGGAATGACCTTGACAGTTGATTGCATAAAACGTTCAATTTTCCGAATGATGGTCTGAAAACACTATTTCAATATTCGTTAAAGCGTCCCTTACACCTTGTATACTTTAGTAAGAAATGAGTAATGTTTCTGCTTTTTTTACACCTCAAGGTAGAATAGGGAGTATGAAGAAATATTTTTGCAAGTAAGTGAGACTTACTTGCAGAAAATATTTAACTACTGGAAGTAGTAACTAGCTTAGTCGCACGCACTGGTTACTACCATACTAAAATATAATTTAATTAACTTGAATGTAATGTAATGTGTATACGTTGCGGTTTGTGTGCAATTATGATAAATTATATCCTTTTTAAGGTAGTTAATCTGGACCTCCGGTAACCTCACTCACTGGGTAAATGGAAATTCATTTGCTTTTTCTAAAGTTAACTGCTTTCTACCACTGGAATAGAACACATCCTATAGAATATTGATATTACCGATGACACTGTGTTGAGCATCTTAAGAATTAGAAATCCTAAAAGGTCAGGGACTGATCAAGGATCAAGACTTGATTGTGAACTTATAAAGCATTATATCGGCATTACAAAATGAACAATTACACTGTCAAAGTTTAGAAGTGTCATTATATTAGCTTTAGCCGTTCCAAAACCCTAATCAAATTTAATATCCCTACAGATTTGACAACCCTATTACTAGAAGGGTCGATGTAATCAGGGATATCGGTGTAACAACATCATTGTTTATATATGTATTTGTGCTGTTTTATAAAAGTTAATTACATGTGCGATTAAGGTCTTCAGCTGATTATTATTGTGTTATTGTATTTTCATAGATATCATAGAAATCTTCTTAGGATGTTTTCAGCGCGATAAATCTTACCTAATATATTTTTAGTGGCCCTGTCTGTCGGTTATCTATAACTGTACTAATAGGATCACTACGGGTATACGACTCTCCTCCAAAGTGTACTACTCTTTTCCTAGCTCCCACCATCTTTAGCGCATGCGCGCACTTTAATTTTCTTACGTGCATTTACGTACATTTACGTCAGGGATAGTTCAGATTAAATGGCAAAATATGAAAAAATCTTTATCTATTAAATTGAGTAGGAAATCGTGCTACACTACTCGCATTGCATGATTTTTTACTCTTTCAACTCAGCACTACACTCACGAGAATGTATTTTATATTTTATTCACAATTTAATCACTTAGTCTCAATTGACGTTTAGAAAACAGCTCGTGTGAAGTATGGTATGAATATTTACCTAAACACATTTATAATTCACAGACAATTCCCCATTCGTTTCATACATACGATCAAAATTTAACACTGTGACATCCTTGATTTTTCAAGATATAATTTTTACACTAAAGGCCAAGTATATAAGCAGCTTTTACGTCATTGTTTTGACTTTTCTTGTGTTTACAATATTGTATTATTAAGGATCTCTCATAAAACTTCTTATAAGAAGCAATAGAGAACTAATGTAACAATGGTTATGGATGGTTCGGTGCCGAGTAGCTTAAATGTTTGTAAAATACTATAGTCTCATATATACCTATCTGCTATTTCCTGGCAGTCAAGACAAAAATCTCATATGTCTCCTGTTCTGTATAGATCTGATGGTTATTTATACACAAGATTCTTCCAAAGTCAACGAAAATAATATTAGTGGTCACACCTGAAACTTTTAGTTATTAATCAGACAGTGAGTTTTATTAGACAACAATAAATATATGTACTAACATATTTACGAAAACATAAACCTATGTATTTTAAGACCGTCCACGTCATCACACCACTCTCCTCATCAATTGACGACTTTGATCAGATGCAAAAGTAAAATCGTGGAGCGTAGCGTAATCTGATTGTCAATAGCGTTTATACATGATACAAGCGGTTGACTGTTTGTAGAAATTTCCCGCGCCTTCCGAAAAACTATATAGGGGTAACTATTCAACGCAAATGTGCCATTTATTACAAGAAATATACAAATCCTTAAAAGGCGGTTAAGTAGTTCGAAAAACGGTTGAACAAGACCATTTCTATTTTAAGAATAACTAGCCTTTTAATTGCTTTTCTTTTGGTATTTTCTCCTTGAGTAGCACATTTAAAGCAAACGTTTACATTATATTTAACTTGCCGTCCCCAAGCGGTTTGAAAGGAAAATATCTGGTTGACAAATTACTTGTTCATTCAAGGGCAATAATAATTTGTTTCCTTTAATTAAATTTTAAAGCTGGCAATTTATTCCGATAACTTTAGACAACGTCTCGATTTGAATGAAGAAATAACATTGGCCAAAGTTACGAAACGAATTAATTGGTACTTAATACTACTTCTTTTCGTAAGAATAGTTTACAATTAGATAGCTATAGACATTTTTTAAGCTGAAATTTATTTTTGTTATTATATATTGTTGTTATAAGTTGCTATTTTTTGACTAACATCATTTTTTTTCATGAGACAACCGTAACCTGAAGCTAAGAAGGGTTGGAACTAAATTTAATTGTATTTTTTTTAATTGGAAATAAATGATTGAATATCATGTCACTATATTTACTGTCGTTGAAGAGATTCTGATCTCTAATATATTTATCTTCTTGTGGTGATGTCACTTCGTACAATCCTCGTCTAGAAGATTGATCCATAGTTTAGTTAGTAGTTTACTAACGTCTTTTTCTGTAGTAGTAATGAAAAACTATTGTTGTATCAGAAGTAGTACATACTGTTATGCGAATACAGTTACAGAATATTTTGAAGGACTTACTTTTTAGATAATTTGATTAGTTTTTATTTTTGACTATTAGTTTTTGAATCTGAATCACCAACCTATGTTAATAAAAAAGACAACACCTCGCTTAAAAAGAAATCACACTAAATTAGAAGAAGACTGAGATAAAAATTTAACAAAAAATATATCAGACTGAGACTGCCATCGCTAATCTTGCGAACTCCTTGAACTGATCCCGACCATTACCTTTGAATCGTAATTACAGTCTTAGTATTGGAAAACTCTAAGGTCAATCGATTTTGTTCGTAATATTAAAGTCATTTATTCCCTAACTTTGTGAAACGTCAGAACTAGAAGTTGTGCTCCATTTAACTAATAAAGTGATATCTATATTCTAGTGATAGATATATTTTATTCTATTTTTAAATTATCAGAGTATTAGATATCTGTTTCCCTAATATATTATAAATACGAAAGTGTCTGTCTATCTGTTTATCTGACTGTCTGTTAACTCTTCACGCTTAAAAAGCTGAACCGATTTAGATGAAATTTGGTATGAAAATACTTTGATTCTTGAGAAAAAACATAGGCTACTTTTTTTTTATTTATTTAAAACTTAATGCACATGTTGTACGAAGGCGGACTTAATGACATGAGGCATTCTCTCCCAGTTCCAAATAAATAATTAAATTTAACATAATTGAAGTCCAGAGATATACACAATATATATACACACATACATAATGTTTTATCGCGATAACCAACATTTACGCGGGCGGAGCCGCGGGCGAAAGCTAATTCCTAATATTTGATAAACTATTTTGAAAATTATTATTATATTTATAAAAGTTCGATCTCTATATGTTTAAGCTAACAAAACTTAGTGGTACTCTTTGGGCCTAGAAGAGAAGATGAGAATATAGAATCTTCTTATCTATCTACTCGTCTGATATTTGCAGCGAATTTATAAATTCAATTAACTTTATCAATTATACAAAAGTTGTATCATCTAGTTGTAACAAGCTCACTTCGAGTCTTGATTAGTGTAAAACTTTTTAATGTATAATTAGTATCGGAGGTTGGTCATACTTTTGCTAGAGTATTCTACATTTTGTTTTTTCTTTTCGTCCTGTGGCGTCTACAATTTATACTTATAATTTTGCTGTTAGAATATTTTACCTCTGAATTTTTCAAACTTACTAGAATTTTATCAGACACTTACTAGCTTTAACTGAACTTAAACAATTAATAAAATAATATGTATCTGCGTCGGTCGCAGTAAACATTCCTACGCGCTGAGATTTGCACTGACATTTAGGTACACACATTATCTATTTACAAAATTAGTTTTTGTATAAATTGTGAGCAATGAGAATTACAAACTTGTTACTATTGTCTGGAGCTAACTAATACAAAAACCAATAATCAAATGTGCTTGACTTTAAAGTTAAACTAAAAACCGTACTTGCAAATAAAAATAACAAGTCTACTTATGTACTTGCCCATAAAAACATTTAAAACCAATTTCTCAGTCAAGTTTTCTTTGGTCTACTTACACTTTTATAAAGTCGAGAAATATTACCTGCTGCCAAAACACTGATGCCTCCAGCAGGAATACCAAGTCCCATGTTGAATTTTTGCCTTTCTTCTATAAAAGCCACGCTGCCCATCACCATAGCTGATATTCCGCATACTATCTGAGAAAAATATAAAAAATTACTCAATGTTTGCGTAATCTTATCTGCTTACTACATTTACATAGAAGTATCCTGATTTTTTTGTGACTTGCCCTTTAAGAAAATATCGTACTTTACCAACTACTAGAAGGGTTCATGTTTTATACAATTAATTTGGCAAACTAACACACGGTTTACTCTATTTTAAAGTGCATATAAATACTGCTTCAGGAAAATTTTCAGTTCTGCATTACAAGTACTATTCAGCTCTCACATGTAGCTTCGTTAATAGTCGTCATTAGTGGTAAAAGCTTAGCTACGGTCTTCTGCAGAGATCTGTTACTGTAACAGTAAGGCAACTCGAATTTAAACAGTAATATATTGTGTCGATCATCTTTTCAGTCTTGGAAGACGATTAATTACATACAACAACTTAAATTTCTTTGCCTCACTTTTAATCACACAGTCTTGTCGTATTATGCTAATGGAGTGTTAGGATTAAATTTAAACGTACTTAAATACGCCAGCCAAACCGGTAGATGTCAAGAGTTAGGTCGTTTTCCTGTATTTTATTTGACGAGCGTCCAAGTGTTTATTCTGTATCTTTATTGCCAGGGCGAGGCTCAATGCGAAAAGAAATAATCCGTTTCGGAACGAATAGGTTTATTTTAGGGTACAGTAACGTAAAAATAAACCGCAATGCAGTTTTAGATACTGAGAAGTATCCTTTAATATAAAGTTTTTAATGCATGTACTACTAATTTATAAAGTTGACTTTGACTTTGATGTAACTATTTTGATGACAACTTAAAAAATAAAATAAAAACATAATTAAGTTGTAATTATATTTCGCTAAACCAATGGATCGTCTGAAAAATTTGATACAAAATTCAACGGTTAGTAGATGGTTGTGTTTAATTTACCGCATAATCTTAGAAAGCAAAGTTTTTCCTAGTCAGTTCTTAGAAAATAATAGAATAATATTTGGCTTTTTATTGTGTCGAAACCCTTACTTGTCATCCTGACCTGACGCTTTAAAAAAGTAGTGATAGTATACGATATCGAACCGAATAAAACCACGTTGTTCCGTCGCAAGTGAAACTATCCTAGGAAATCAGGATGTTCCTTAAGAAGAAAGCCTGCGGGCACTCAGATCGACACTTCGTGTTGTAAAAACCTGACTATGAAAATAACGGATCTGTGAAAATTGTGGTAATTTTTACAAAAAGTAAATAACATTATATGATCGACATATAATTCTTTAGACGACCGGATTGGTTAGTGGTTTGTGTAACGGACTGCTATTCCAAAGGTCGCGGATTCGATTCCTGCTCAAGTCAAACATTTGTGTGCATGAACATTTAATGTTTGATTTGGTCTGGATGTTTCCATGTTTAATAAATAAGTAAATACAAAAAAAAGTGTATATCAGTTGTCTAGTAGTCATAGTAAAAGCTCTCCTTAGTTTGGGACTAGATGGCGTTGTGTGGATGCGGTAGAATATTATTATTATTATTATATGTTTGACACGGAGAACACACATGCGGAACCCAGAGGTGTGTTATTCTAAGTGAACATTTCCTCTACAGAAGTTCTCTAGTGGAGACTACATTGGTTTTACAAGATACGTTCCATTGACGATCGTAATGGTATTGAGTGTTGAGGACAATTTTGGGTTGACTTAATCCAATTCTGTCTCTTTCAATAAAACGGAGGAAAGATAAAAAAGACTTTATGGAGTAATTTTTATTTGTTGCTTAGTTTGCGGTCCAACGTTAGTATGATCAAACGATGGTAAATAGCTGTAATAATTGTACTTCTCTATTTTTTTAAACTATCGGACAAAAGTCTTTTTTTATGAAAGAGCGTTCAAAAGAGCAGATGGTTCAGCTGATTTAAAGTGACTATAGCCGCCCATGGATGCCTGAAATTCAGAAGTCACGAGTGCGTTGCCGGCCTTTGAGGATGGAGCGTGAAAAGTGTCTTGAAAAGCTCAGCCAAGTGATGGGGATGAAAATTTTGCAGTGTGGAACTATGGCGGAAAGTTGCGGCCCCGAACAATTTCTCGGACCACTCTCCATGATATATATATATATATATACGATAGTGAATGCAGAGTAAGCCACACATCTACATAACGCCAAGGGGTCGAGACGATTACCGGGAGAGGTCGCAGAACGACCTCCGTCCTCCATAAGCGCAGGCCTGGGGGTGACAGGTGAGGCCATCTGTCACCCTAGCAGAAGCAGGCCGGGGTGACGGCGAGCGCGTTGCGAAGCGCGCTCGCTTCCAGGGAGCAGAGAGAACATGGGGTTCAAACACGGGGGGGGGGGGGGGGGGGGGGGGGGGGTTGTCTACTTGTTGTAGATGGCCCGACGTATGTCGGGGCACCAGGGACTTTTCGAGTCCGACATGCCACTGATAGGTGGTATCCGAGGGGATCTCCCTTTTAAGGAGAGGCCTATGTCCAGCAGTGGACTGTTAAAGGCTGTTGATGAGGGGATCTCCGCACGAGACGATCGGAGTTTAAAGAAATGTAACTTATGTATTTATATCAGTTGTGTAGTAGCCATAGACATATGTAAACATCATGGGATTCGTTTAGTTGTATGTTTTTCTTATTTGTTTTGAACATAAAATAGTGATTTCGTGAAGCGTATAAAGCGAATAAGGTCTACTTACTGGAAATCTAAACCTAATTAGTTTTTGTCGTACCCACATACCTAATAAAATAAGACAGTATGTGCCTCATCATCTTGTCGCTGAATGATTTAATTTACTTCTACTAAGTAAATTCTAGACCATATTTGAGTTCGGTACCTACTGTAATTAGATGTAGTAGTTGTATCTTTAACGACGTTAGTTAAAATCTGTGCGAACGCTTTGTTTTCTCATAAAACAGAGTGTTAATTTTCTTAATTGACATTGACAATACATTTATCACACGATTTAAATTATGTTAACAACATGGAGAGAGGATGAGATTCGGTGAAATGCATTCATAATTATTTTAGTGAACCAGCTAATGGTAATAGATGCCTCTCGCAATAGACAAGTAGCTCTTTATTTTATTATACTCGTAACTAAAGAAATAGTAGGATAAAAAGACTTTAAACAGACTAGAAACTATCTATTGCTATTACAATGTTATCTGTTAAATTGAGGGTCGGAATTATTTGGGTTTTTTAAATTAGATTTATAATTATTTTTAACTTTTAGTGCTCTTGTTAGTATTGTTTGAAGTCGTTTCAACATTTTTTTATTTATCTTTATCACTTTCAGTGTAAGTTACTTTTCTAATGAGTCATTACGATATTTAAGATACTACTTACTGCAAATGTTTATGTTATCAAACTGTAGTATGTTAGATTATATTAAATTTAGTTAAATAAGTCCGTTACTTTATTAAGAAAAGGTAGTAAGATGTTAAATTTAAACCCAAAAATAACTTGTTTTCTACATTGTTTAATTTTCGATTTGAATGAAACCAAATATACCTTTTTTAACAATTTTTACGAATTGTCAAATCATGTCAGTTAGTCATAATATAACTCAAAAGCTCTTCACATTTTTTTGCGAATTAGACTTATATTGAAGGCTACTTGAGATATTAATTTAATATTATTTAACAACCAAAGTCAATTTCATCTTCAGAGAAAGAAGCTCAGAAAAATTTATATTATTTATATTGTGACAGGGATAATTATTACTCTTTGATCCACAGTTTGAATATCGAATGTATGATGTACCTGACCTCAATGTTAATGGAGGGCAAAAATATTCAACTTTAATATTGTTTTAGCAACTTATATTACCAGTTTCAGGAAACATGTCTATTTATATGCAGAAAATATCTTCATGATATTTTCCTATTGCCAAAGAACAAAGGGTTCTTTTTTGTTCTTTCTTTAATAGAAGCGCTTGTGATATAACGGTATTTGACATTAGATGTATAATAATAGCATTTTAGTACAATATGATACCTATAACATATACATCTTGATATATATCTGTTATACTGAAGTTAAGAAGATAAATACCGCAATAACGAATAACATGAGCTGGTTCAACCGTAGTGACACGGGCTCACAGAAAATCGATGACAAGTTTTTTTTTGCACATTGCGGGGGGGGGGGGCATTGCTATATGAACACGTTTAATATTTTAATGTACAAAGAAGCACACTATCCCTCTTCTAATATATTGAACAGCATAATTTAAACCAGTGAACTTACCAACCGCCAAGGTGTATCCCCCTGTGAAGCGATGGGGTTCCTAGCGCTGTTAATCCCTACTCACCAATAGTATGAAATGTTTCTACATTTCATATTATTGATGAGTAGGGATCACCAGTTCAGTTCTAAGGGCATAGGTTTTTGGGGCGAGTTTATTTCACAACAAGTCACTCTCGACCGCGTTTGGCGGAGAGTTTGCGGGACAATGGCAAAGGCAATCGAGAGGCAATCCATTTTTTTAAATAAAATTACTATTACTTTAATATAACGACTATATAACCTAACAGAAATCGGAAGGTTTACACACAGGCGGATTTAATGTAAAAACTTTCCAATAGAAGGATTACGTTTATACTTACTTATGAAACTTCATTTGAAAAGGGAAGAAAATCGAATTGAAATTATGTCTTTTTTTTATAAATACGTTGTTATTTGTGGTAGGTTTATGTTTTATTATATATATATAATAAAACTAAATTGTAATATCTTTCTACATTTTATCATGTGTAACGATTATCTATTGTTAAATATCTATAATATTTTTGATCTCTTTACTCTCGTGAGCATCTAAAGGGAAATTTAGTTGATGTACTTTTATCCGTAAAAAAGTCCACCAATTAAAAAAAAAACTCGCAAAGTTATTTTTTGAAATAAAAATTTGAAAACACCCCTAACAAGGTGTATTGGCTTCGTTACTTTTATGAAAGCATTTTTTGTTCGTCAGTCAGTTCAAAGCTAGGATTAATTCGAAAATGCCACAGGGTATTATTCTAAATTAAATTCACATTTTGTTATGGGCTCAATTTTGCGAAGAACACGTTTTTTGAAAGGGCGTGAGGCAATTTGCGTGGTATGTATTAACATATTTTACTGAAAAGAGGGTAATGGGAATTGACAATGTTTTAATCACAGCCGTTTCAGTATCTTTACGATTTAGTAACCATTTGGTGTTAAGGAATCGATTTGACTTTGTTTAGTCTTTTCATTCGTTTATTTTAAACTATCTGTACCCTGTTAATGCTCTGTTAATGTGGTACATTGTGGTAGCAAATAATAATAATAATATTTTTCGGACATCTGACACACATCACCATTTAGTTTTAAACTAAGTAGAGCTTGTACTATGAAAGCTATAGTGGCTGATAGAATACTTATATACATTTTTTTTTTAATACATACATATTTTACATATAAAAGCCATTTTTAAGGGTATTTTGTGTTAAAATTTGAGCTAAATCGGTGAAGAACTTTTCGAGTTTTTGAAATGAACACAAACCAAGTTTACATTTATAAATATAGATTACAGTCATAGTTATTTAAAAAAGTTATTGATTTAGTTGTTAGAGATCCACTCTTTTGTGCTTGTGGGTTCTATCTAATTCTCATATTTGGTTCTGTTTATGCATGCAATTTTCTATAATATTAGCGTTTGTATTTAATATGTAGGTATGTTCATCAGCCTATTTACGTACTTTCATAGCATTTTGCATATAATTAGGTCACGTATTTTAGCGTATTGATATTTAGATCATGATTACATTTTTGTTCATAGTTACCCTATTTTAAAATATGATATTTTATCATATTGTGCACAATTCTTACATATGAGAATAGGCGGCTGACGGCATGACGGTGATGATGGCACATTGACCTCTTTAGAAAAGGAGTCCAAGGGATGCACCTCTAATACATAAACTTTTTTGTCATTTAATTTATCCTTAAATTCAAAACAAAACAAGTAAAAAGTAGCATATGTCCTTCTTCAAGAATCAAACTATCTACACACTAAATTTTATCTAAATCGGTTCAGTGGTTATCGATTACCCAAGTTACCCAATTTAGTGATTGTTAGTTTAGCTTAGAGAGTTTTCGAACAACAGAATTAGCACCAATGTATTCTTAGTTCTGTATGTATAAGTTGTACACAGCAAAAATATTTCAATTATTGCTAATACGATAGTATATCGTAGAAGTTCTATAGCCCATCGGTCAATTTTATGAGTTCGAAATCGTTTTTTTTTCATTAATATAATAAGAAAGAATACAATATTATAAAAACAAAATTCGAAAACCAACTCTATAGTAATGTCTAAATTATCCTTTCTAGTGTTCAAATTCAATAAAAACGACACATATTTTTTTATGAGGCTCATATTTACATGACATGTATTGTGCGTTCTAAGAGACTTAAGCTTATTAGGGCACGTGGAATATATAAAGATATTGTAATGATGTCACCTTTAATTTATTTGTTGACGACGACCCTAAGAATTATTCCTGTCCACATGTCGTCGGATGTGGTTGGCGAAAGCCTGCTTTGTGGCAAATATAAGATCACAAGTACCGCACTTAAGCTATGCATTTCAAGCGTATTTACAGATCTTCTACTTCTTGTAGAGCTTTTTTTATAGCATTTTGAGTCACAGAGAGAGAGAGACAGCAGAATATCTTTAAGATACAGGATGATTATACGTCTGCTGTAACGTTATATGTTTTACGTAAGCTTTAGATTAGTTATTACCATCATTAAGCGTATTACGTGAAACACATCTACTCGTTTATTTTTCCGTAAATCACTTTCCAAAAAAAAATAATGTCTTAATAAAAATTCTAAGTCTTATAAAATAGCAACTACAAAATTAATCCAACAAGCTGTTACCTATACGTATAAACGTGTAGTATACTTATATAGTAAGATATGTGGTGAGGTTGACGAAATTTGAATAATAAGAACCAAATATATAATGATTACTTGGAGTACTAAAGAAAAACGTTAATATATTACACGTGCTTCGTAAACAGGCATACCACAAACTTTTCCTTAAATCATAATATCGTTAAGGATTCCTTTCTCCCGATTGTCGTTCTTTCAAAATGTAACAACTACGACAAATCTGCTTTGTTGTACGTTCAATATGAGCGATCCATACTATATTGTACAGACCTATCATTGTGCTATATAGGAGTACACTTTAGCTAAAGGACATGCTATGAAAAGGTTTTATGATATTTTACGTTTGATATGTTTACCTAATAATAAGTTCTTCTTCTTCTTCTTTTAATTCAAAAAAGTTTGAGCTACTACAATACACTGTCACTAGACTCTGGTAATAAAAACATACTTTCTACAGGAATCCAAGCACCATTACTCATTTTAGCTAGCAACTCCCGAATAATACATGAAGATTAAAAAGTTTTATAATGTTTTGTTTGACTGACACATGAAGTATAAGTAAAGAGGTCATGTTTATATTTGTGTCGAGTCGTCATCATGGCTTTCAGTTTACTATTGGGAAAATAGCTACGCAGTAACGGCACGGTCTACTTATCACAATTGCGGAATGGTACACTGTTTTCTCTACGATTTCATTTGATATGATTCAGACATACATACATAAAGATTAGAGGAACTAATTATTTTAGTTATTAATTATGGAGTAGCAGGTAAAATAAAAGCGATATTTTTTGTTATGATATGGGGGGAGGGGAACAGCAGACGGGTCACCTCATGGTAAGTGACTACCTACTACTATTTCTAAATACCAATATTGTAAAAAAAGGTAACCCAAAAAAATTATACTCATATAGAAAGTTCGTTACCATCATTGAATAGAATAGAATAAACTTTATTGTATACCAATTTTTGTGCTTTTACAAGAGTATGATAATCAAATTAAGAAACATATACAAGTGGCAACCTTATTGCTAAAAAGTAATTTCTTACAGGCAATCGTTGGATGGACAAACGACTATAAACAGATGAATTTACACTTAGTTTTGGTATGAACAGTGGGAAAAAATCATAAAATATTTAAATTTATTCATCAAACAGCATTGATTGCAGCAGCAACTATTTTTGATATTATTTTAATTATGAAAAAAATCATTAGAGTTTTAAAATAGTTTTCTTTTATTAGAGAAGAATAACTTCAATTAAGATAAGAATTGCACATACTCTGTGCAAGGGCCTTACGGCGCACAATAAATCTCGACTTGGTATTGTTTTCGCTACTTTTTTCAATTACTATTTTTTGCTAGATGAAAACATACTGATATTTTTTTAAACAGGACCTATCTGTCACTCGTACATACCTGCAGAACTCGTAGTCTTAACACCAGGGCGAGAGGATATCCAAACCGAAAGAGCGAACTGTCTCTGTCGCCAGTCAATGGTGCCGCTGACTCTTTCCGCCGAGACAGAGCGGCCTGTAACAACCATAAATTTTAAATAGAGAATGATTTCAATAAAATAAGTCTTATGATAAAGTTGTCGTAAGTTTGTTTTACGTCTTTTATACTTCTTAACCATTTATTAAATGTATTGATAAAATGGCAAGTAGAAACTTCTGTACTGATTTCCACCCGAAAAATGGTGAAGGACAAGTGAGTGATAATCATTTTACACCCGTAAATGAGCATTCGAGACTCATTTATGAATGGTTTAAGTAAATATTTGTAACTTGCATTTATCTAATGTGTAAAGGTTTCTAGTAACTTTATCTGTCACAGCCTTATAGGTATGGATCCATTAGTCAAAGTAGACTTAATACTGTAACAGACAAACTTGTACCAGCCTTATTTAGCCTTATAGTTTGAACAGAGCTTTTTCCCAGCGTGAGATTTTAATTTATACGAATTATCATTCCCTTTAACCTATTTTACCTCGAAATACTTCTAATGTTTGAGTCACATTCACTAACAGGGTTACTTCGAGTTTATTGAAGTTTCGTAAAGAATCATGGATTTTAAATCGTTTGTATTCAGTATAAATGACACTTTTTCGAAATTCTAAATCAAATTCTGAAAATAAAAAATTCTTTGTAGTTATCAAATTTACAGGATACATAATATGCATTTAAGTTATTGGATACATAACATAAAGCTCACGTTGGACTGCAAAATAGGATTTGCATACTAATTTAATAGTAATTAATATAATAGTAAACACATTATTGTTACAATACAATGTGATTATTATGATTACCTATAATGTGAAAATATGAATAGGTTTAAATTCTGTATAGTCTATATTTAATCAAGTGAAAGTTAAGAGTGCACCACTTTCTTTACGTCACCACGGTATATAATATAATCGACAGTCACAGGGTTAAAGCTTACGGAGAAATATTTTTTATATCTGTGACGTCGCCTTCAATCATGATTGTAAATAGAAAAACGGGGAAGAATGTATTTGCGAACGTGAACGAAAAGAAACCAATTAAGGAAGCTCGCGTCGGGAGCTACTTTCTTTTACTTAAGGTAACAGGATGTCCTTACTTTAGGATACATTGTGTTATTTTCTGCATTTTTTTGAACAATATTATAGTGAATGAATTAACTCATTTTTGTAATGTAATCTGTTTTTATTTGCTTATGTACTTCGGGCATGTCCAACTAATTCCGGATCCGATGGATACCGTATATATGTCAATGCTCAACATCATCACATCACATCATCATCACATCAACCGCCTTTAGTAGTCCACTGCTGGACATAGGCCTCTCCTCACAAAGGAGGTTTTAGTCTACTATACTACGCTGGCCAGACGGGTTGGTTAAGGGGCGGTGTTAAGTTTTTCTTCTTTTTGCAGTGCTGGTATCCAGAGTTGTTTTGCGCCCTTAGTCGGCTCTTACGACACCCACGGGATGAATTGGGTGACATTCCGTATTCTTAATCCGTCACTACACGCCATAATGCTCAACACCTGATTCTAACTGTGAACGGTCTGATCATCACATTTTTGGGTAGTAGTCTTTGGTACAATGTAGTATATTTGCCGCCACAGTACGGAGCGAGAGTGCGTGAAACTCCGCCGTCTCCTTCTGCGAGCAAGTTATGCTTGCGAAGGAGATGGCGGAGCGGGACCGGGAGAGACAGAGGACTGATGAGGCCATCTGTCACCCTAGCAGAAGCAGGCCGGAGTGGCGGCGAGGCGCGTTGCCGAACGCGAGCGCCCTTTTGTACCAGGGATTTACTTTCTAGGGTACACCTGGTTCCACTTTTACTGATACCTGGAGACGGCGTGCGTTTTTGGTTAGTTCGAGTCCGACATAATCACCCCACCGGGGGGTGATATCCGAGGGGATGTCCGCACAGGAAAAAAAACAAAAAGGGTGAATTTCCGTACATTAGGGCGATTATATCATAAATATTATAGGAATCAAATGCAGCTAAGGGCCCATAATGTTATCGTGTCCGTGGTGCTTACCTGTTCAATAGAGTGTACGCCTATTTTGCTGAGGAGGAAAATGGATTTATTATACTTCCAAGTGCTACAATTAATTTCGTTGAGGTTCGCAAGTCAGTTTAACGTTTCCTGGAACTTCTCAAATGTCATTACTCGGTGTGTAGTAGGCGTGTGGCCTCCCACACTCCAATTCATCCCGTAAAAATATCTTTTTTAAATATGGATGAAAGTTTCTATTTTTTCTCTTAAAAAAATCTTTAACAAAAACATCTCTGAGAAAATTAAGACACTGTTTCAACGTGGTTTCAGTTGGGTTTCGAAACGTTTGGCTAATTTTGTAACGCCGCGCCGCAAGGAATATAAACAGAAGCTCATAGAGTTTTGTTTTAAGTAATTAATAGACCAGGCATCACTTCATTCATCATAAGGAATATTTCCTCGTATATGGCGGTGCGGTAATATTCGTATAATACCAAAAAGTGGCGACAAGCCACCGGATGATCCTAAATCCTACCGACCAATCAAATTGTTACCATCGTTAGGAAAGCTTTTAGAACGTCTTGTAGTGCCCCGGCTTCTGCCAGGTGGAGTCAAATTTCATAATAGACAATTTGGATTTACGTTGGGTAAATCGACAACTGACGCTGTTATATCGGTTAGAAAGTTTGTCACAGAGTCAAAATTTTAATACGTGCTGGCTATTTTCTTAGATATATCTGGCGCCTTCGACAACGCGTGGTGGCCCATGCTGTTGCTGAAATTAAAATCACGGGGGTGCTTTAAAAATATTTATTCCCTTATATCTTCGTACTTTTCACAAGGTACTACTAAACTAAGACTTGGTCATCATTCTGTGTCGAAGGCGCTTACAATGGGATGTCCTCAGGGATTGGTGCTAGGTTCATACTTGTGGAATATCGGCTTCGACGATTTTCTTGCGATACCAATACCATCCGGATGTACTCTGAACGCGTCTGCTGATGACGGCTTATTACTGGTGGAATCTGATACTAGGGCGGGGCTTGAGAGATTAGCCAATAGATGTTTGAACTTGATATCTCAATGGGGTGAACGTAATCGCTTAACTTTTGCACCCAACAAAACCTTCCAGCTACTTTTAAAAAGTAACCTCAAATCACCGCCAAGCATTAGCTTTGACAATGTTACTGTAAAAAATAAAACCTCAGTGTGTTACCTAGGATTAGTTTTAGAAAGAAACTTTTCATTTATCGAACATATTTAAGAAAATAGTTAATGAAAAGTCTAAAAAGAGTTTCTCTTCATTGATAAGGATATCAACTGCGACATGGGGTCTATCATTCAATACATTAAAGATCATATACGGAGCTACTTATTTAGGTTCTATGGGCTATGGTGCACCTGTATGGGCCGATAGGGCGACCGTAGGCGCTGTCCGTCGCAAACTGTTTCAAGGCCAACGACTTGCACTGATATTCTTGTGCAAGCCATATAGGACGGTTAGCACTGAAGCTTTGCCGGTGTTGGCGGGTGTGCTTCCGGTCGATCTCGAGGTGCAGAGCATCCATGTACTATTCAAGACAACAAAACATGGAATGCGATTTTTTTGGCGCGCGGGATCGCGGTTAAATTACAAGATTGCTTCAACAGCAATCCGATGTCTATAATGACCTCATAGACGAATGGCAACAACGCTGGGATGAATCATCCAAGGGGCGCCATCTTTACCAATTCTTTCCATCTGTTCGCGAACGGTTGTCGAGGACATGGCTTGAGGTGGATCACTGTGTCGCTCAATTTCTTACGGTTCATGGTAACTTTAAGAGCAAGCTTTATTCATTTAAATTAGTCGAGTCACCATTGTGTCAATGCTCAACACCTAACTCTCACTATGAACAGTCTGCTCATCATATACTCTGGGAATGTAGTCTTTGGTATAATGAACGTAATATAATGCTGAATAGCTTGCAGGTGACATCTGGGGCGGTATACTATGGGGATCTTGTGTCAACTAGGGTGAATTTCCGTGCGTTTAGGCGATTCTGCCATACATATTATAGAAATCAAATATAGCTCACGTAGGACACGTAATATTTTGCGGCCGTGGTGCTTCCGTGTTTAAAAGGGTGTATGCCCATTTTACTTCATTTTGTCTTCCGCTTTGCTAAGGAGGGAAGTGGATTTATTGTATTTCCTACTCCTCCAATTTTCTTCTGATTAATTTCGTTGCGGGTTCCAAGACAGTTTAATTTCTTCCTGGGTCTTCCCGAGTGTCATAACTCGGTGTGTTCATGGGTCACTGGTGTAGATATTGGTGTACAGGAGTTACAGTGGTGGGCGTGTGGGTGGGATTAGACCAGGCATCACAAGTTTTTAAAAATATCCAATCCTGAGGTTTTCTATAATATATTATATTAGAATAAAAATGAGGATTGTATGAGGATTTCCTATGTTCTAGTTTCCAATATTATTTTTGTTTCCAATATTTATATTCACGTGTGGATGAAGAAGATGCCCCTATTAGTTTCGGATCCGGCAGGACACTTTTATTAATAGTCCTACTGAGCCAATGTCAGGCGCAACATACTTCAATAGGAACATTAACAGAAAATTTATACAGTGCTTATATCGATTTGCATGAACAAACAAGCAGTAGTGGTTTTCTATGTTTTTATTTCTTAAAATATCCTGTGAATTTCGTGTTCTAATTTCTTAATGCGAGTATTATATAAACTTATTCCTTAAGTTTTATATGATACTCACCTTAAGTTTTAAGTAATGTAATGGCTCTGCCCGCGTGTATGTCGGTTATCGAGGTAAAAGTAGCCTATTTATTGTATTACAAATAAACAGATTAACTTTCACATTTATAATATAAATAAGGGTTAAAATTTAATATTCAATGCTTTAATGTTTGTATTTAATAAAATATAAAATATAAGATCGTCTTTGAAAAACAACTTCTAAAGACGTGTTTTTAATGTTCTTTTGAACTTAAAGAACAATGGCAGAAACATATTTACCTAAAACTTAAGCGTTTAAAAAATCCAGTCACAGTAAACTTAATCAATATTTTTTCTATGATTTATCATTACACCACCATGTGTTGTATAAGTCTTATAAGAGATAAGATATTTTTGAAGATTTTATTTGACCTAAGTACGTAATGTCAGATTCGCCATCATGTATAACTGACTAGGGATGCGTGGTGGCAATATTATATTATGGAACATTTTATCGATAATCGATTCTTATAGCTTTGGCTGAAATATTTACTGAAGGTTCACCTATTATGATTATGAATTTGCTTCTGCCCACGTCTTCACTCGTACGGTAGAGTGACTGAATCAACATAATTAGAAATTATTTAAAATATTTTTGACTCTCTTTAAACGATTTTAAACACACTAAAGAAATAGAATATAGTTACGTTATTTTCCACTACACAGTGTGATGAGAAAAATACATTGTCATTGATAACGGCACATAAATAGACATACATCGATATTTTCAAAATGTCGATACGTCATCGTTTAGATCCTGTCGAGTTCCGGACTCACCACGTTTGTTATTTTATTTTTGTTTAATTTAGTGTTAAACTCGAATAGATGTTATGCTTTTATTTTATTTTATTTCATATACTGTAATAATAATGAAAATAATATTTTCGGCTATCTGACACACAACGCCATCTAGTTTCAAACAAAACTTTAACAATATGTTAGTACTTAACCTCGAAACATTCAAAATCCAATATCTTTTTTCCTAGACTTCTTTCGCAAGTTATTTTGATATGAGAATGGTCAAGAATAAATTCTCAAGTGTTAAGGATTTTTTGATATTTAAACGCTAACATTTCAGTTCAAATAAAATTTTGTATGGGGACCTGCCATTGTCCTTTGGACTTAAATACTGTATTATATATCCGTCCGGCTATAAACTCAGTATAGTGTAGCCTATTATACTATAAATAGTACTATAAATTTATGCGTCCAACCGTTTGCTAAATATTAAACGTTACAATTTGGCTTTTAGCCAGTATCATGTTCAATTTCAACATGGTCATTTTAGATCCCTTTATTGAGATACCAAAGAAGATGTTGTTAAAAACACTTCGTAATG